TAATATCAAACGGAGTCATAAAGTTTTCTGTCGGACTATCAGTGTACATGTATACATTAAAAAATAAATGTATTTTTCATCATCATATACTGTGTTTTTGTCGCTCGAATGAATTTTATTATTTCTTCAAGGTTCTTCACATACGTACACCTTAAGAGATATCAAGTAGGCATAACATGTTCTCAAAAAATTAGGGTTGGCACGCAGAAGAATTTTGAGTCAGAGATTTTGCTGGTTTTGGCACGCACTCACAAAAAGGTTGCCCATCCCTGGAATATACCAATTACAACTAAAGATAATAATTACAAAATAATAAAATAAAAAAACTCCCAGCAAATAAAAGTCCTGGACTGCAGGGCTTTACAGACGACTTTTAACAAACATTCAAAGAACTAACATCTATCCTTCTCAAACTATTCCAAAAAATTCAAGAGGAGAGAAAACTTCCAAGCTCTTTTTACAAGGCCAGCATTATCCTAATTCCAAAGCCAGAAAAAGGCACTATGAAGAAAGAAAATTATAGGCCAATATTCCTGATGAGCATAGATGCTAAACTGCTCAACAAAATATTAGCAAACCAGATACAACAATACATTACAACATGATCATACAACATGATCAAGTGGGATTTATTCCAGAGATTCATGGTTGGTACAATATTCACAAATTTCTAAACATGATACACCACATAAACAAAGTGAAGGATAAAATTCATACAATCATATCAACAGATGCAGAAAAGGCATTTAATAAAATCCAAAACCCATTTATGATTTAAAAAGGAAAAAAAAACTCACAGCAAAGTGGGAATAGAAGGAACTTACCTCAACATATAAAAGGCCATATATGACAAACCCACAGCAACATCATACTCATTGGGCAGAAACTAAAAGAGCTTCCCTTAACATCAGGAACAAGACCAGGATGTCCGCTTTCACTATTCTTATTCAACATAGTATCGGAAGTCCTATCCACAGTAATCAGACAAGAAGAAGAAATAAAAGGCACCCAAATTGAAAAGGAGAAAGTAAAACTGTCATTATTCATAGGTGACATTACACTGTATACAGAAAACCTAAAAAACTCCACCAAAGAACTACTAGATCTAATAAATGAATTCAGCAAAGTAGTAGGTTACAAAATTAATATTCATAAATCAGTGGCATTTTTATACACCAATAATAAACTATCAGAAAGAGAAATTAAGAAAACAATTCCTACCCTGGCCCATGTGGTTCAATTGGTTGGAGCATCTTCCTGTACATCAAAAGGTTGCAGGTTCAATTCCTAGTGAGGGCACATACCTAGGTTTTGGGTTCAATCCCCAGTCAGAGAGAATACACGAAGGCAAGTGATTGATGTCTCTCTCTCTCTCTCTCTCTCTCTCTCTCTCTCTCTCTCTCTCTCTCTCTCTCTCTCTGTGTGTGTGTGTGTGTCTTTGTCCCCCTTCCCCTCTCTCTAAAGTCAATGAGATGTACTCATGTGAGTATTTTAAAAAGAAAACAATCCCATTTACTATTGTAACAACAAAATAAGTAAGGTACCTAGGAATAAAATTTAACCAAGGAGATAAAAGACCTGTACTTGAAAAAGTATAAGATACTGAAGAAAAAAACTGAAGAAGACACGAATGACTGGAAGCATATACCGTGTTCATGGACAGGAAAAAATAACATCATTAAAATGTCCATTCTACCCAAAGTAATCTACAGGTTCTAGGCAATTCCTAGTATAATACCAATGATATATCTCACAAATCTATAACAAATATTGCAAAACTTGATATGAAACCACAACAGACTCAGCAATCTTGAGAAAGAAAAACAATGTTGGAGTTATCAGAATACCTGATATCAAACTATATTACAAGGACACTGTAATCAAAACTGTAATCATGGTATTGGCACCAGAACAGGCATAAAGATCAATGGGACAGAATAGATAGCACAGAAATGAACCCACATCTTTATGGTCAATTAATATTTGTTAAAGGAGGCAAGAACATACAATAGAGTACAGATAGTCTCTTCAATAAATGGTGTTGAAAAAATTAGAAAGATATATGCAAAAAAAATGAAACTAGAACATCAACTTACACCATACACAAGAATAAACTCAAAATGGATTAAATACTTAAATATAAGTCACAAAACCATAAAAATCCTAGAAGAAAACATAGGCAATAAAATTTCAGACATTTCTCCTATTTTTATTGGTATATCTCCTTGGCCAAGAGAAAGAAAAGAATAAATAAATAAATAAATAAATAAATAAATAAATAAATAAATAAATAGATAGGATTACATCAAGCCAAAAAGTTTTGCACAGCAAAGGAAACCATTAACAAAATGAAGATACAATCTACTAAATGGGAGAACATATCTGCCAATGATATATCTGACAAGGAGTTAATATCCAAAATTTATAAAGAATTCATACTACTCAACACCAAAACTTAATTAATCCAATTAAAAATGGGCAAAGGACTTGAATAGACACTTCTCCAAAGAAGACATACAGATGGTCAATAGACATATGATATGATGCTCAATGTCATTAATCATCACAGAGATCCAATTAAAATCACAATATCACCTCACACCTGCCAGAATGACTATCATCAATAAGTCAACAAACAACAAGTGTTGGTGAGGATGTGGAAAAAAGGGAACACTCATGCCCATTGGTGGGAATGCAGATTGATGCTATTGCAATGAAAAATAGTGGGATCCTCAAAAAATTAAAAATGGAACTGCCTTATGACCCAGTGATTCCACTTCTGGGTATTTATCCGAAGGAACTCAAAACAATAATTCAAAAGAATACATGCACTTCAATGTTCATTGCAGCGTTATTTACAATAGCCAAGATATAAAAGTAACCCATGTGCCCATCAATACAGGAGTGGGTAAAAAAAGATGTGAAAAATATAAACAATGGAATATTACTCAGCCATAAAAATAGATCTTACCATTTGTGACAGCATGGATGGACCTAGAGGTTATTATGCTAAATGACATAAGTCAGAAGAAGACAAATACCACATGAGTTCACTTATCTGTGGAATCTAAAAAACAGTATTTACAAACAAACATAATTGAAACAGACTCATAGATACAGAAAACAGACTGATGGTTGCCAGAGAGAGGTTGGGGTGGGAGACTGGGTAAAAAAGATGAAGGGATGAAGAAGTACAAATTGGCCTGGCTGGTGTGGCTCAGTGGTTGAGCATCGACCCATGCACCAGGAGGTCATGGTTCCATTCCAGGTCAAGTCACATGCCTGGGTTATGGGCTTGATCCCCAGTTGGGGGCGTGCAGGAGGCAGCCAATCAATGTTGATGTTTCTCATCAATGTTTCTATCTCTCTCCTCTCCCTTTCTTTCTAAAATCAATAAAAAAAAATTTAAAAATCTGTCTCTAACTTGCTTCTATTTAAAAAAAAAAAAAAAAGGTACAAATTGGCCTGGCCAGCATGGCTCTGTGGTTAAGTGTCAACCTATTGTTTTTTGTTTGTTGTTTTTTTTTAATATGTTTTTTGAGCATCAACCTATGAACCAGGAGATCATGGTTCAATTCCCGGTCAGGGCACATGCCCAAGTTGCTGGCTCAATACCTAGTAGGAGACGTGCAGGAGACAACCAATCAATGATTCTCTCTCATCATTGATGTTTCTATCTCTCCCTCTGCCTTCCTCTCTGAAATCAATAAAAATATATATATATTTTAAAGTAAGTACAAATTGGTAATTACAAAATAGTCACAGAGATATAAAGTACAGCATAGGGAATATAGTAAGTAATATAATAATAGCTATGTATGATGCCAAGGTTCGTACTGGAAATATTGGGGGAACACTTTGTAAAGTATATGATTGTCTAACCACTATTTGGTACATCTGAAACTAATACAAAATAATATTAAGTATGAACTGTAACTTAAAAATAAATTTTTAAAAAATATATATCATTGTAATCCCCGCATAAAAGAGAAAAAAAAAGAATGTGGTATAAGATCAAAGAACAATGGAATTAAAAGCCCAGAACAACCCAATCTCTGTATATGAAAACATGATATGTGATAGAAGTGATAACACAAGTCAGTAGGAAAGGATGGATTATTTATCAAATAGAGCTGGAAAATTGCATGCTCTATGAAAAACAATAAACTTGGTTCCTTACCTCATATAGTCTCCAGATGTAGGTTCGAGATCAATTAAAAGCCAAAACATGAAATGCAAAATTAAAATACAAAGCTAATAAAAGGTTAGAAAGGAGAATATCTTCATGATCTTGAGAAAGAGTATGATCTCTCATGCAATATTCTCAAAGAACAAACCTTAAGGAGGAAAACTGACACCTGTTACAATAATAAAATTAAAAATCCCCGTTTAAGAAAGTCAGTACACAAAAAGTCAACAGATGGGTAACAGACCTGGGCCAAACAACTGAAGTAAAAATCATTGCCCTGGCCGGTTTGGCTCGGTGGATGGAGTGTCGGCCTGCGGACTCAGGGGTCCCGGGTTCGATTCCGGTCAAAGGCACGTACCTTGGTTGCAGGCACATCCCCAGTGGGGAGTGTGCGGGAGGCAGCTGATGGATGTTTCTCTCTCATCGATGTTTCTAACTCTCTATCCCTCTCCCTTCCTCTCTGTAAAAAATCAATAAAAATATATATTTTTAAAAATCATTAAAAAAGACAAAAAGTCCCATAGAAAAAAGGACAAAGGATACAAACAATTTACAAGAGAAGAAACAGAATTGCAGTACATGTAAAGACATCCTCAAACTGACACACCTTCAGAGAAATGCAAATTTAATAAGAAAATACTGTTTTCTGCATACAAAATGGCAAAAATTATAAATTCATGTAATTCCAAGCACTGACACAGATCTAGGATAATGGTACTATTGTATGTCTGATCATAATTTAAACTGCTGCACTCATTATGAAGAACGTTTTGTCAGTACTTAGGGAATTAATATAGAGCTATCCAATTACCTGGAAATCCAACTCCTTGCCATATAATTCCAAGAAAACTCTTGACAGGCGCAGGACACATGTGCAAAGATATGGATGGCAATATTGGTTGTGGTAGTAAGTAAAATGAGGAAAGTGCCTATAAAGAAATATTTTAAAGGAGTGAAATTTAGCCCAGTTGGCATGGCTCAGTGGGTGAGCATCGACCTATGAACCAGGAGGTCACACTTCAATTCCCAGTCAGGGCAAGATTGCAGGCTTGATCCTTGGTGTGGGGCGTGCAGGAGGCAGCAATCAATGATTTCCTCTCATCATTGATGTTTCTATCTCTCCCTCTCCCTTCCTCTCTGAAATCAATAAAAATATTTTTTTTAAAAAGAAGTGGTATTTAGTAAGTTATAAACCTATTTAGTGATATATACAACTTCATAAACACAATATGGCATTAAAAAGATGTAAAATAAGATTCGTATCATAATACAATATATGCCAAGTTAAAATACACACATACAATATATACATTAAGAATAAAAAAGGTAGTCCTAGCCAGTTTGGCTCAGTGGATAGAGTGTCAGCCCGCAGACTGAAGGTTCGCAGGTTCAATACCGTTCAAGGGCATGTACCTTAGTTGCACACTTGATCCTGGGCCGTGGGCTGGGCGCTTGTGGGAGACAACCAATCTATGTGTCTCTCTTGCATCGATTTTTCTCTCTGTTTCTCCCTCTCTCTTCCACTCTCTCTCTCTCTCTCTCTCTCTCGCTAAAAAAAAAAAAAAAAAAAAAAAAAAAAAAAAAAAAAAAAAAAAAAAAAAATCAATGGAAATATATCCTTGGGTGAGGATTAACAAAACAAACCATAAAAATTAAAACTGTAGAATGGAGGAACAGAGAGTCAATAAAATAGGAATTGAGGTTGGGAATGTAAGTAGAAATGAAGAATGTAATAATATAAAACAAAAGAAGGCTTTTGCATTGACCAATAATGTGCCATGAATGAACTGAGGGTACCTTTAATTCAATTCAGTGAATGTGGAAACCAAAAAGGAAAGTAAAAATATTTTGTAAAATCTGAACAGTACCGGTAAACAAATCTCATAAGCCTTTGAATATACAAACTGAGGAGATTAAAAATGGTGGCGGAGTAAGTGGATGCTACACTGACACACTCCCAGGACCAAACTGGAATTACAACTAAAACACACACAAAAAAATCCTAAGTAATCAACTGAAGACAATCTGGAAAGAACCCTAATAAACAAGGACAAAAAGTGGAGACTGCAAACAGAAAGATCGAAGTGCGGAAGCATGAAAGGGCTGGCGGGCTCCCACAGACAGCAGCTGAAGTTCTGGAGAGAGATCTCAGCTGGGGAGGGTGGGAGGATTGCCACTGAGAACTCTGGGTCTAAACCCAAAACTGGTCCCCCCAGCCAAGAGCACAAGAACTGAGAAAGGTGCCCACATTACATCTGGCTGTGAAAAACTTAAGAGTTGCTGTCTGCCAAGGAGAGACAGCTGGAAATACAGGCACCCCCTTAAAGGGCCAACACCCACAATTTCGTGTGCAGGCACTCACCTCAGGTTCTGGCAGAGGTAGAGCCAGGGTTTGGGGCTCTAGGGTTAGCGCTCAGAAGGCAGACACCCTGGTTTCCTGTGCTGAGTCATTCCCTCGCACTGCACAGGACATCTTTCTCAGACAGACCTTTGCTATCCAGGAGGTTTTTGCCTGGGAGAAGGTAGTTGCCACATCCCATTGCAAAACATTTGCCCCACCCTGTGGAGTTTCTGAGGCCCATTAAGAGACTAAGAATAACAATTTGACTCCAGGCAGAAGGAATTTCCCCACCCATTTGGAAAACTCTCACCAAACCTGTGGGCGATAGCCTGAGGCTACTCACAAATGAATACAAACAGTCTGCAGGCAGAATGCGGGTCTCAGGAGGCTTTGAGTATCTGCCTGATCTAATTAGTCAGAAACACCTTTTGACAATGTCCTGCACTAGAGAATGGGAGGCATAGCAATCTACTGAACACAGCCACAAACCCAAAGAGGCAACCAAAATAGGGAGACAAAAAAAAATAACCTCCAAACGAAAGTCCAAGAGAATTCTTCAGAAGAAGAGCTAAATGAAGTGGAGATAAGAAATTTATAAGACATGGAGTTCTGAATAATGATGGCAAAGATGCTGAACATCATAAGAAAAGATATAGTAACTATGAAGAATGACATATCAGTAATAAAGAACACAGTTGAAGGAATATACAGCAGAATAGAGGGAAGCTGAGGATCAGATCAATGAATTAGAAAAAGGGGTAGAAAAAAATCCCTCAATCAGAGAACCAAAAGGAAAAAAACAATTAAAAACCAAAAGGACAGCTTAAGGAAATTGAGGGACAACCTGAAATGTAACAATATTTGCATAATAGATGTGGCAGAAGGAGAAGAAAGTGAGCAAGGGATAGAGAATGTGTTTGAAGAAATAATGGCAGAAAACTTCCCTAATGTGGTGAAGGAAAGTCACACAAGTTCAGGAGGCACAGAGAGTCCCAAGCAAGAAGAACCCAAACAAGCCCACGCCAAGGCACATCGTAATTCAAATGCCAAAAATTAAGGACAAAGAGAGACTCTTAAAGGCAGCAAGAGAAAAGCAATTTGTTAGCTACAAAAAAAGCTCCCATTAAGGCTATCAGCTGCTTTCTCATCAGAAACTCCACAGGCCAGAAGGGAATGGCATGAAGTACTCCAAGTAATGAAAAGCAAGGATCTGAAACCAAGATTACTATATTCAGCAACAGATGGTGAAATAAAGAGCTTCCCAGACAAAAAAAAAAAAAAAAGAAGAAGAAGAAAGGGGCTTATCACCACCAAGGCAGCACTGCCGCTTTTTTAATCAGGAGGAAGATCATCTCTGCAGAGGCCCCTTGTGAGGAGCAAGGGGTCCCAGCCCCACACCAGACTCCCAACCCAGGCCCCCAGAGCAGGGAAGAGAAGTCCCCAAACTATGGGCTATAAAAACCAGTGGGGATTGGGGCTCAGTGACACAGAGGATGCTGAGACCCAGCTGTTCCTCTTAAAGGGTCAGCACATGAACTGAACTTACAAGGTCACACTTCCTCTGAGCTCCAGCACCAGGGCGGGGCTTAGGGGAAAACAGACACATACAAGGAGGAACTGGATTATCTGGCATCGGGGCAGAACTCCGGAGCAGCTTTCTCTCAGACGAAGGTGCTCCCAGGGGTCATTATTACAATGCTGGGACCTCCCTGTCACAGGGCTTTCTGTTTGCTCTGCCCTGGTGATTCTCTGAGACTCCACCCCATCCAATTTGCAGCCCCACCCAACCCGTGTACAGCAGCTTTTACATATGAACGGCCTGTCCTGGCTCAAGCTTCAGACTTTCCTAAATCTCTCAAACAAGCTGCGGCGGGGTCGGGGAGCCCCAAAGCTATCAATAAAGGCCCAAAACCTAGCACTAGTACCAGCCTGCCTTGCTTCACAGCTGGACCTCACCTGGACACTTCCAAACCTGATACAAATAGGAGGAATCTGCAGATCTCTCTGTAGCTCCTGCTGGGTGGCCCAGGGAGTGGCTGATTTTGCACCTCCCTGGAGACCCAAGAGCCAGTGCACCCAGTGGTCAGCATCAGATCATACCAGATTACAACTCTATACATCCACAAATGACATGTTCAAGAGGCAAACTCAGTGAGCACCAAGGACCCACTGAAGCAAGTCCTGCTCCATAGGGGTGTTTCCTGCACAGCAACTCTCCCTCTGTAGTCACAGCTTATCCTCACAGCCAACTGGCCTAGAGGTCAATTCCTCCCAGTGACACCAACAACAATCAAGACTCAACTACATGACTGTGTGTGCAGCCCACAAGGGGTGCACTTAGAGTGCCTGGCTCAGATGACTGGGGAGGCTGAGCTCCTGGGCCCTACAGAACACGTACTACACAAGGCCACTCTACCAATTCCAGGAGACATAGCAGCTCTACCCAATACATAGAAACAAACAGGGAAGCAGCCAAAATGCAGAGACTAAGAAATATGTCACAAATGAAAGAAATGGAAGAAAGCAAACTACTGGCTATAGAGTTCAAAACCACGGTTATGAGGTTACTTGAGAATCTTCTAGAATCTCCAAGAAACTTAGTGAGACTTTCAAGGATCTTAGTGAGAATGCCAAGAATATGAAAAAGGATCAGTCAGAAATTAAGCATACACTGACTGAATAGAGAATAATATACAGGGATTCAACAGTAGACTAGAGAATCCCGAGAATCAAATCAACAATTTGAAATATGAGGAAGCAAAAACACCCAATCACAAAAGAAAAAAAAAAAAGAATCCAAAAATATGAAGACAGTGTAAGGAACCTATGGGACAACTTCAAGCGTATCAATGTTTGCATTATGGGGGTGCCAGAAGAAGAGAGAGAACAAGATACTGAAAACCTATTAGAAGAAATAATGACAGAAAACTTCCCCTACCTGGTGAAAGAAATAGACTTACAAGTTCAGGAAGCACCAGACTACCAATGCTGAGACCCAGCTGTTCCTCTTAAAGGGTCAGCACATGAACTGAGCTTACAAGGTCACACACTTCCTCTGAGCTCCAGCTCCAGGGCGGGAGGAATCCAAACAAGAGGAATCCAAAGAGGACCACACCAAGACACATCATAATCAAAATGCCAAGGGCTAAAGACAAAGAGAAAATCTTAAAAGCAGCAAGAGAAAAGCAGTTAGTTACCTACAAGGGGGCACCCATACGACTGTCAGCTGATTTCTCAACAGATACTATGCAGGCCAGAAGGGAGTGGCAAGAAATATTTAAAATGATGAATAGCAAGAATCTACAACCAAGATTACTCTACCCAGCAAAGCTCTCATTTAGAATTGAAGGTCAGATGAAAAGCGTCACAGACAAGAAAAAGTTAAGGGAGTTTGTCATCACCAAGCCAGTATTATGTGAAATGCTGAAGGATATTTTTTAAGAAGAAGAAGAGGAAAAAGATAAAAAAAAATATGAACAATAAGAAGGCAATAAATGCATATATATCAATAATTGAATCTAAAAATCAAAATAAATGAATAAGAAATATAATGAACAAAATAAACTGGCGAATAAAATAGAATCAGAGGCATGGAAATAGAACAGATTGCTGATTCTAGAGGGAAGGGGGGGGGGCGGGAAGAGATTACACAAAGATCTTATATGCATATATGCATTACCTAATGACACAGACAATAGGGTGGTGCAGGCCTGGGGCAGGGCAGGAACTGGGTGAAGGAAAGCAATGGGGGGGGGGGGGTGAAAAACAGGAATATCTATAATACTCAACAATAAAGATTACAAATAAAAAAATACAAAATAAAAAAACTGGAAACAACTAAAAAAATAAACTGCAATGCAAAAAATAAGGACACAACTGGATTTTTCACAAAACTACACGCATTCAATTTAAAGTACCTATCCTCTATTTTGAAATATAGGTTTGAAATGTCTTTTCTTTTATGAAATTGTAGTGATAGGAGATGGTATTTTTTAACATCCTTACTTGGCAAGATAAAAGTTGGCAACCTCTATGGAGTATCCAACCAATGTAAACAGTTTCGCTATTTATAAAACCCAACGCCGTTTCAAACAAATACTGATAGTCTGAGGAGGGAATAGGTTTCCTGGAAAGAGCTGGTCCAGGGCACAGAATGCTAATCCCACATTCTGGAAGTTCATATTTCACATAAATAGTCCGAACAGGAGCAACCTTTGCTCCGATCTCACTCTAGGGAGGGCTAGGACTTTTCTTAACGTGTCCCTAACATCTGTCCTACTTTCTAGTTTTTCTACCAATTCTTTCTGCTGGTTGTTAAATCCTATATAATAAAAGGTTAATATTCAAATAGACCAAACAACCGAAAAACTGGTTGCTATGATGTGCGCTGACCACCAGGGGGTGTGTGCGGGACATGGCAGGCATTGGCCACGGCAGAATGGTGGAGCAGGTGAGTGGGAGCGCCAGATCAAGGTGGGGCGCCAATCGCTGTCTTCAGGGGGAACCTCTGATGGTTACTGAAAATTCTTTGCTTCTCCGTGCTGCGGTACCCGCCAGGCACTCGCACCTGCTGCCGGCACTGGCCCCACTCGCACCCGCAGCCAGTGCCACAGCTTCTGCTCACACCTGCTGCTGGTGCCCAGCGATGGTCCTGATCACTCAGTGCCATCAGCAGGTATGAGTGGCAGCTGCCAGCCCTGATCGCCCCTTAGGGCTTCTCCACCTCCCCGTGCTCCTGAGGGGCAATCAGGGCAGCAGCCGCCACTTGCACCCGCTGCTGGTGCTGGCCCCAAGCACTCTGGGCCGTCAGCCGGTGCAAGCAGGGCTGGTGCCGTCAGCACATGGGAATAGCAGCAGTGGGAGAGGGGCTGCCCTGCAGGCCAACCGGGGACCAGGGGCGCGGTGTGAGGGACCAGGCGGGGGCATGGAGGATGGGCCAAGACCCGCCCCTGTGCCCACCGCAGCCTCGAGGCACAGTTCCTTTCAAGGTACATGAATGTGTGCACTGAGCCCCTAGTATAAACATAAAATGATTGTGCTAGCCCTAGCCAGTTTGGCTCAATGGATAGAGTGTTAGCCCATGAATTAAAAGGTCCCAGGTTTGATTCTGGTCAAGGGCACGTACCTTGGATGCAGGCTCAATCCCAGTTGGGATGCATTCAGGAGGCAACCAATCAATGTGTTTC